TATCTGTTTCAAACAAATGAGCTATTAAAATAAGAATGAAAGTATTCAAAAACTTTCTTTCTTCAAAGAAAGAAAGAGTGTGAAAAGAATTTGTAACCACACAAATTTGTGACTCCCTTAATCTAAACCTACTCTAACCTTTACTGTAACCGTAATAATCCTTTCACCCTAACCCTTCACTATAATCCTGACCTCTCAATGTAACCCTGTTACTCACCTGATCTCTCCCTGTAATCTCTACTATGCAGCTCCCAACCATCAACCTGAACCTCCTATCTTGAAGCCCTGATACCATAAGCTTTAATTGGTAAACTCTGAACCCTTCAACCCTTATCTCCTGATTTTATAGTACCCTGACACACTAACTCTAAATACTAACCACAGTCTATACACAATCTCATCCTGATCTATCCTACTCAGTGTGATGCTACTTTAAGGGCTGATCTATAATCTCAGAAATGTAGACTTAATAATCATCAACAAAATAATAGCAAATTTAAACCAACAGCATTGTGAGAGGATCAAACACCATGAACATGAGTTTTTATCCCAATAAAACAACGGTGGTTCCACACACTAATGCCAAACACACAGTATTGTTAGAATGAATGGAAAACACCCCATAATTTTCTCAGCTGTTGCAGAAAGAGCTTTCAACAAAGCCGGGATTACAAGCATATGCTACCATACCTAGCTAATTTTGTCTTTTTAGTAGAGACAGGTTTTCACTATGTTGACCTGGCTAGTCTAGGGGTCCTGACCTCAGGTGATCTGCCTGCCTCAGCCTCCCAAAGTGCTGGGATTACCAGCATGAGCCACCATGCTTGGCCGAAAAAATCCATTTTATATGTATACACTAGCAATGAATCATCTGAAAACAAAAATTATAAAAATTCCACTGCAAATAATATCAATAGCAATAATATGCTTAGAAATAAAAGTAATCAAAGGATAAGACTTAGAAGGGGAAAATTATACGGCATTGCTTAAGGAAATTAAAGACCAAATAAATGTAAAAACATGTCATGTTCATGGATTTGAAACTGTATATGTTAAGTTCGCCAAACTACACAAAACAATCTACAGGTTCAGTGTTATTCCTATGAGAATCCCAAAGGCACTGGGACAGAAATGAGAAAGCTGATCCTAATGTTTATATGGAATTTCAAGGAACCCTGAAAAGCCAAACCAATCCTGAAAAGTAACTCCAAATCTGGAGGTTTGCACATCCCAATTTCAAATCTTACTACAAAGCAATAGCAATCAAAACAGCATGATACTGGCACAAGAATAAACAGAAAGATCAATTGAATTGAATTGGGAGTCCAGATATAAAACAATACCTCCATGCTCAACTGATTTCAGACAAGATCCATATCCATTAAATTGGGGAAAAAATGCTGTCCTCAACAAGAAGTGATGTAAGGCAACTTGCTGTCCACATAGAGGGAAATGAAATTGTATCCTTACCTATTATCACATAAAAAAATTACCTTAAAATGGATCAAAGACCTAAATATGACTAAACTAAAAACTCTATAAGAAAACAAACAGTTAAACCTTCATGACCTTGGATGTAGCAATAGTTTCTTAGATCTGACACCGAAACCACAAACCACAAAAGGAAAAATAAATCAATTGATTTCCTCAAAATTCAAAACTTTTACTCCTCAGAAGAAATGAAAAAAAAAAAACTTGAAAGACAAAATTGTTATAATAGGAAAAACAACTGTCTTCTATTATGCTCTTAACACTCAACACCAAACACTTCTGTTAACAGATGCATGGTTTTTTTCCCCACACAGACCAAATCTTGGGTACCAACTGGGTGTCAATCCAATTCTGACACTAACTAGAGAAAGCATCAGACCCCACAGGCTAAGAGCTCAGTCCTAGTAATGCAGGTCATGACTCTTGTTGCTTGTGTTTGTCAACTGACTTTATGTAAAAAGAAAGTGACTTTATGCCAGAACTTAGCAGAAGGGAATATACAGGCTCTTGCCTTAAGGAAACCACTTCCACTTTTGGGGCATAAAGTGGGAGATTTAAAAAGGGTACTTCGCAGAATGGTATGCAGGGGATGGGGTGAGGAGGTGCAGGGTCTATGGGACCCTGATGATTTATCCATTAAGTGGTCTTGCTAACACCACCATGGGCAGAGCTGGGTTGTAACTGACTGTTGTCTCTTAGCAATCTCCTGGTGGGGGAGAGTTTGGAGATGCCTAGTTTATTTCAAGGTTTGGTCCCTGGAACTTCTAAGTAAACACACAGTAAGAAAAGTTTCCCGTGTAGGAAGTGTCTGGTGGAGAGGCAGTAAAGCTTATAATTGCATTCCTAAAGAGCTAAGTAGGAAGTGCAGAAAAAGGAAAACAGTAAACATAATTCATTTTTTCTTTAAGAAAATACGGGTACTCAGTTAGAAGACTGTAACTACTTAAGATGCCAATCACAAATAATAGGTTCCCAGGTTACCTTCTGCCTGATTTGGCTACAGATTGGAGGCTCCCACAACACCCTTATTGGGTTCAGCGATTTACTACAGCACATTACAGAACCCACAAAAACAGTATACTTACCATTGCTGACTTATTAACAACGATATATATATATATATATTTTTTTTTGAGACGGAGTTTCGCTCTTGTTACCCAGGCTGGAGTGCAATGGCGTGATCTCGGCTCACCGCAACCTCCGCCTCCTGGGTTCAGGCAATTCTCCTACCTCAGCCTCCTGAGTAGCTGGGATTACAGGCACGTGCCGCCATGCCCAGCTAATTTTTTGTATTTTTAGTAGAGATGGGGTTTCACCATGTTGACCAGGATGGTCTCGATCTCTTGACCTCGTGATCCACCCGCCTCGGCCTCCCAAAGTGCTGGGATTACAAGCTTGAGCCACCGCGCCCGGCCTAACAAGGATATTTTAAAGGCTACAAGTGAACAACCAGATGAAGAGATGCACAAGGTGAGGTGGAAGAGGTGCAAGCCTCCCATGCCCTCTCCAGATAATGATTCTCCCAGCAACTCCCTATATTCAGCAACACAGACACTCTCCTAACCCTGTCCTTTATTACACAGGCAGATTGGTTGCATCGGTGGCCATAGGTGATCAACTCAACCACCAGCACCTCTCTCCTTCACAGAGATGGGAGGGGAGATGAAATTTCAAATCCTTTAATGACAAGGTTGGTTCTTTGGAAGCCAGCCCCACTGAGGGTGTCCAGGTGCCCCCAGCCATCAGTTATCTCATTAGCATACGAAAGACACATCATATGTTCCAAAGGTTTATTGCTCTGTCTCAGGATACTGCAGCAGAGACCACACATTAACTCTTATGATGTTCCAATAACCCACAAAATGGAAGAAAAAATCTGCACATTAGATACTTTAAAAGTGTCTGTTATCCAGAATGTATAAATAGCTTTTACAACTTAACAACAAAGACAACCCAATCTAAAAAATGACAAAGGACTTTCATACACTCTGCACCAACAAGCACCTGAAAAGATGCTTAACATCGTTAGTCATAATTAAAACCATAAAAAAAAAAACCTTAAATCACACAAGAGTAGTTATACTAAAAAAAAAAAATGTGTTAACAAAGATGTGCAGAAACTTGAACCCTTAAACACTGCTTGTGACAATATGAAACGGTGCAGTCTATGTGTAAAATAATTTGGTGTTTCTTCAGTTACCAATAGATTTACAGTATGACTCAATGATTCCATTCCTAGGCATATACCCCAAAGACCTGAAGACAGGTGTTCAAACAAAAACTTGTATGCTCTTTAAATGTGTCAAGGTGACAAATATGCAGGAAAGTCTGGGGAACAGTTCCAGGAAAAGAAAACTGGATCAGAATGAAAAAAAAAAAAAAAAAAAGAACACATTATACTCCTAGGTGGGGCGGGAGGTAAAAGTGAAATGAGTTTGTAGACTGAATTATCATATAGGAACCATGCTGATTTCCTGATCTAGGAGTTATGTGGTGGTTACCTGGGAGAGTGTCTATACTTTGGGTAAAATATACTGAAGTATTTTGTGGAACACTGTAAATCTGGTACAGCAATAATTGCTGCGGAAGCTAAGAGAAGAAACAAGTTATACTTTGTACTGCTACTGGAAGTTTCCTAGAAGTATGACATTATTAGAAAGTAAATTACTTTTTAAAACAACCGTATCAGTACCATATCAGGAAAACAGAGACCTCACCAAAATCCATTATAGAGGCTATAGTTCAGCCAAAGCTGTGAAACCCTTATAAAAGTCTCAATGTCAACAGACTCCACTTTGTAGATATTGTTATATTATTAGTATTAGAGGCTACTGTGAGGATATATTAGTGTTGTGGCATGGTGTGGATATTAGATTAGTGTTAGGGCATGGTGTGGATATTATACTGGCATTAGGGCACAGTGTGATTACCATATTAGAGGCCACTGTGAGAATATATATTAGTAGCCACTATGTCTTGGACACTGACAATATCAGGGTTTAGTCAAAACAGTGGGATTTAAGGGTTTCATTTCTCTAGATGGATTTCTTCCTCTGCTGAGTACTCTCTAGACTTTCCTCTGCAGTCAGGGCGGCAGACAGGAAGCTTTTTACCCACCAATAAACGACACCAAGTTGACACGACCCTCATGCTGCCCTGAGGAAGATAAAGCTTCTTGCTGCTTCTGGCACCTCAGAGGGAAGTTGGTCAGGAGTGGGTACATGCGCCCTCTCGTGGCACCAGGGCTCAGCACAGACACTGTTGCTCACAGTTTCACAGTGGATATGTACCCCCACCAGATGTCCTGAAATACCTATAAAATTCAATATTCAGTTTATTCAATGTCATAATTTTGGAAATTCAAACTAAAATGAAGCCCACTATAACCATATCCTTCCAAAAAATGGTGATGGAAGAATTATTTGGAAGCCATATAGAATGAAATGAATGTACACACCAATTAAAACACAAAAACCCCCCCGCGCGCGGCCCCGCCCCGGCCCCGCCCAGGACGAGGGGCGGCGGGCGCGCAGCGCTAGGTCCCGTGGTGGGGAGAAGGCAAGGATTTCCCACCGGGGGCGTTGTCTGCAACTCGGCGGAGGCTCCAACGTCCGGCGGCCCGGCAGGGAAAGATCAGAGCCTCCTAAGAAATATCCAAAAGTCAAGCCATGGATCCACCTGCACGTAAAGAAAAAACCAAAGTTAAAGAACCTGTCAGTAGAGTTGAGAAGGCCAAACAGAAATCAGCCCAGCAGGAGCTGAAGCAAAGACAAAGAGCGGAGATCTATGCCCTCAACAGAGTCATGACAGAACTGGAGCAGCAGCAGTTTGATGAGTTCTGTAAACAGATGCAGCCTCCTGGAGAATGAGTCCCCTGTGTTCAAACTAGATGGGACCCTGGGAGCTTTGTTTGAGGGTGTTGCCATTTTTAAGCTGAGATGGCCCATTTGGAGCCTTACAGAACTAGACCAGAAGACATTTGTGGATAAATCTGAACTTCTTATGTGTAACTTCTACTTCACTGGTTCCTCCAATCTGAATTGGCTGCATGCTTGCTGAAGAGACTTGTTTTCTTCTTCTAAGACAGTGGTTTTTGTTTTGGTTTTTATAAAAAAAGAATAAAAAAACTTTTTCTATTGCTTGAGAAAAAAAAAAAAAAAAAACACAAAAACCTACTCAAAACAGTCCAGAGACTGTAACTGAAAATGCAAAACTATAAAAAATCAAAAAGAAAATCTATGTAACTTTGGGTTTGGTGTTGAGTTTTAACACACAACATCAAACACCAATCCATGAAAATATTCATAACACAGACTTTATAACACTCAATTTTTTACTGTGAAAAATCCTATTCAGAGAACAAAAAGACAAGACAGACTGTGAGAAGATATTTAAAATATATATATGTGATTTGAAAAACTATTGAAAATACACAAGTAACTCTTCAAAGGAACACTAAAAATTTTTAACTAGCTGGACACAGTGGCTCACACCTGTAGTTCCAGCACTTTAGGAAGCTGAGGCAGGCAGATCATGAGGTTAGGAGTTCAAAAACAGACTGGGTAGCATGGTGAACCACCTCATCTCTACTAAGATACAAAAAATTAGCCAGGCGAGGTGGCACGCAACTGTAATCCCAGCTACTTGGGAGGCTGAGGTGGGAGAATTGCTTGAACCAAGGGAGCAGAGATTGTAGTGAGCCAAAATTCTGCCACTGCACTCCAGTTTGCATGAGAGAGTAAAACTCCATCTCAAAAAAAAAAAAAAAAACAACTAAAATGAAAAACCCAATTAAAACTGGGTAAATATCTGAACAGATACCCAGCCAAAGAAAACATACAGAAAGATAGCATGCCAGTCATGGTAGTGCATCCCGGTAATCCCAGCACTTTGGGAGGCTGAGGCAGGTGGATCACCTAAGGTCAAGAGTTCGAGATCAGCCTGGCCAACATGGTGAAACCCCCTCTCTACTAAAAATACAAAATGTTAGCCGGGCATGATGGTAGGCACCTGTAATCCCGGCTACTTAGGAGTCTGAGGCAAAAGAATCGCTTCAACACAGAAGGCCGAGGTTGCAGTGAGCCAAGATCAAGCCATTGCACTCCAGCCTGAATGACAGAGCGAGACGTTGTCTCAAAAAACAAACAAACAAACAAACAAACAAAAACAAAAACAAAAACAAAAAATACAGATAGCAAATAATCGCACAAAAGGATGCTCAACATCATGTCACATTAGGAGACCGAAAATTAAAATAACGCTGAGACGGCTGTATGCAGTGATTTATGCCTGTAATCCCAGCTCTCTGGGAGCCTGAGGTGGGTGGATCACGAGTTCAAGAGATCAAGACCATCCTGGGCAAGATGGTGAAACTGTCTACTAAAAATACAAAAATTAGCTGGGCACAGTGACACATGCCTATAGTCCCAGCTACTCAGGAGGCTGAGGCAGGAGAATCACTTAAACCCAGAAGGTGGAGGTTGGAGTGAGTGGAGATCATGCCACTGCACTCCAGCCTGGTAACAAAATGAGACTCCATCTCAAAAAAAGAAAAGAAAAGAAAAACCATGCTAACATATCACTGCACACCTGCAGAACTCTAAAAAAAGTTCAACAATAACAATTGGAGGTTGAAGAACAATAGGTACTGTCATTCACTGCTGGTAGAATGCAGCCGCTTTGGGAAATAGCTTGGCAGTTTTTCCCAAAGATAAACAAGTCTTACCTACAGTCCAACAAATGCACCCCTAAATTGTACATGTTTAGAAAGCTGCTTTGAAAAATTATTTTCAAACAAAAACTAGCATAATCAACTTCAAGTACAACCACGCAATGGAATACCATTCAGCAACAGAAAGGAATGAACTTTCAACCCATGAAAATAAATGAATGAATCTTGCATGTATGTTTCTAAGTGAAGGGTGGCAGTATGAAGATGCTATAAATTGTATGACTCAATTCATATGACATTCTGGAACATGCACAACTACAGAGATGATAATCAGATGAGTTGTCTGGGGTGGATATTTGAAGTATTCTACATGAGACTTTAGTAGTGGATACCTGACACTATGCATTTGATAAACCCATAGAATTTTAGAGCACAAAGAACAAATAACCCTGATTTTCCTCTATACTCTCAACACTTCACTTCTGACAGCAATTTCAAGTGGGGGGTGTTTCCCACAACAACCAATTTTCAAATGCTCTGAACAATAATTGGGTGTCCTATAATTTCATTATGACATTAATTAGCGGGAGTTCATACAGACCCTACAGGTTAAGGGCTTAGAAATATCACACTGTCCTCGACCTGAGGTGCCAATCGAAAGTAGTGAATCCCCAGTTTACTTAAACTTCTATATGACTTGGCTAGAAATAAGGAACTCCTACACCCTTCCCTCAGGTTTGATAATTTTTTATAATGGCCTACGAAACTCAGGAAAACACTTATGTTTACTAGTTACTATGGTCTCAATGTGTGTATACCCTCCAAATTCCTATGTTAAAATGTAATCCCCAAAGGGATGGTATTCAGAGGTAATTGAGAGGTGATTGATCATGAGGGTGCTGCCTTCATCAATGAAACCAGCACCCTTATAAAAGAATCTAAGAGCCTTTTTCCCCATTCTGCCATGTCAGAACGTGGCTAGAAGGCACTATCTGTGAGAGATGAACCATCACTAGACATCAAATCTGTCAGACTTGATCTGGGACTTTTCAGATTCCATATTTTAGGAATTTTTATGAAAGCTTCATCATGTAGACATGATTGATTATTAACTCAATCTCCAGTCCCTTCAAACCCTCAAAGGATTGCATGTAAAGCTAAAAGTTAAAAGCTTCTTATCATGGCTTGGTCTTTCAGGTGAACATTCCCCATCCCGAAACCATCCAGGAACCCACAGAAGGTCCTTAGAGAAGACATTTCTATCACTCAGGAGATTCCAAGGGATTTAGGAACTCTGCTTCAAGAACCAGGGCCAAAGACCAAATATTAGAATACAAGATGTTTCTAGCACCCCTAATTGTTCAGTAAATTATAAAAGTTTTGGCCGGGCGCGGTGGCTCAAGCCTGTAATCCCAGCACTTTGGGAGGCCGAGGTGGGTGGATCTCGAGGTCAAGAGATCGAGACCATCCTGGTCAACATGGTGAAACTCCGTCTCTACTAAAAATACAAAAAATTAGCTGGGCATGGTGGTGTGTGCCTGTAATCCCAGCTACTCAAGAGACTGAGGCAGGAGAATTGCCTGAACCCAGGAGGTGGAGGTTGCGGTGAGCCAAGATTGTGCCATTGCACTCCAGCCTAGGTAACAAGAGTGAAACTCCGTCTCAAAAAAAAAAAATTATAAAAGTTTTAGAAGTGCTGTATCAGGAACTGCAGAGAGAGACCAAACATATTTCTCATTAAATCCCAACCTGGAATATAGATCAAAAATGAATTCCTTGTTCCCAACGGACCACGGCATGAAATAAATGGCAAACAGTTGGAGCCAGGTTCCTCACTGTTAGAGTGAGAAGTTACAGATAAAAAATGGGGGAAACCTAGAATGATCTCTGTGCTATGGATCTGAATATATATAAGTATAAACTCACATTTAGCTTAATATATACACAGATAGTTCCACATAGAAAACTATAAAATTAAGTGGATACATAATTTAGAATACACACATATATTTCTTTGCACTGTCAGCTGTGAGGGACATGATGCAATAATCACATTTAGTGGCCAGATGTAAGTTTTTAAAACATTCTCTAACAGAGGAAATCAGGGCTCTTTGAAAAAATGGCTGAAACTAGGACTGGGACAGAACAATACATGAGCCAGTATACTTTTGAAATAACAAAGAAATTGTAAATAAATAAATAAATGAAATTATGTCAAAGGAACCAGTGGAAAGCGCTCTCAATGGCCACAGGGTATGAACAAAGAGCAACAAAATATTGTAGAATTCAACAACAACCAAAAGATTAAAGTAACTGAGTGTCCATATTGGTATAAACAAACGATTAAATAGATACACCATGGGCTGAATAGAAATTTTTTATACAGAAGAATTTTAAATAACTGATACAGACATTCAGCTATCAAGGACATGTGGCTAACCCCCCACTCCTTAGGTGTGGGCTCTGCGTGTTGACTTCCTCCAATATAGACATGGAAAAAAAGTAACTTCACAGCAAGAAATCTGAAAACATTATCTCAACCAGGTGATCAAAGCTGACATTAATGGTGATAATACATCTTGAGAGCATGAAGTAACTAGAATGGCACTTGCAAATCAAAAATAAAATTTAAAGGCCCTTCCCCCAACCATCTGTATAGGCTCCCTCCTCTTCACTAGGGGACACCAAAGTTAACCTGGAAGACTGGTTTAGGCCATGATGGGAAAGAGGTGGTCAGACCTGCCTCATTATGCCCTCCTCCCTTTTGGAATTCAGGAAAAGCCAATTCGCATTTAACATCAACACAGACCATAAATCTGGTAAGTAATATTTATAATCTATTCTCTCTGAAGCCTGCTACCTTGAGGCTTCATCTGCATGATAAAATGTTGCTCTCCATAACCGCTTATCATAACCCAGACACTCCTTTCCATTGATAATAATTATTTCAATTAATTGCCAATCAGAAAATGTTTCAACCTATAACCTAAAAGCCCCACTTCACCCTAACCCACTGGGTTGTCCCACCTTTCTGGACCAAACCAATATATAGCTTAAATACATTTGATTGATGTTTTCTATCTCCCTAATAGGTATAGAACCAAGTTGCATCCCAGGGTCTCCAGAGGGCTGTGTCATAGGACATGGTCACTAATATTTGGCTCAGAATACATCTCTTCAAATATTTTACAGACTTTAACTCTTTTTGTGGACACACTACACATCTGATCTGCTTCCCCCAAACCCATAACCCCAGTCTAACTGTGAGAAAAACATCAAGTAAACCAAAATGGAGGACCAATCTACACAATACCTTACCAATCCTCCTAACATTGTTTCAGGGCCTCAGAAGAAAAGTCTGAGAGACTCTCACAGCAAAGAAGAGCCTGACATGATAACTAAATGTTCTCTGGGATCCTAGCTAGAATCCTGGAAC